AATGACGGAGATATTGCTCGCGAAAGTAGAGAATGTAGAATCCAGTTTTGAGAAAAAGTCATGTCCCATAGAGAATACACGCAAAATGTGAAAAATTGACATGCCTCCTTTAATCGCAAAAATACGTCATGATACCATTGTCAAAATGAATTTTTGTGATAACTGTATTTGTAGAGAATATTCTCAGGTAAAACATATCAAAATTTGAAAGAAAATTGATTATTATTTACAGAGATACAATCAATTTTCCAAAAATCTGCTGACGTCAAAATATGCAAATTTAAATTTTGAGTTTGGAGGCCATTATGATGACGTCATGAGTTAATTGAGGGTCAAAAGAGACATGAAATCATATCTCCGACTCAAACTCTATTAAAATATGAAAAAAAAATTGAGGTTACCTTCCATCCTAAAGCGCTACAATGGATTTTGTATAGGCATGTTTTTGCCCATGTATGCTATGTATTACAAGAGCTCGCACGCACGGACATTATCTTAAACGGACGCTCATTCCATTATTAATGGGCAGAAAAAGGTGAACAAGGTATCAAAATGCTTGGAAAAATGTGCCAAATATGATGACAGAGAAAATTTTGCGATCTTATGTTGGCAAATACCAGTACGCGCGAAAACGCGCGCGCACGAGCGTGCGAGCTTTTTTTTGCGAAACGCTTAAAATGGTCTAGAACGTATGCAAAATTAATTTGAAACGATTTGGAGCATTTTTATTTTTTGCGCGCGCGCTGACGCGCGGACGTACGCATGCGCGCGCGTTCTTTGACCTGAAATTTACCGGACGGATATTGACCTTAATCATGATAAATATTAATAAGAAATGCCTTTCCGTTATGAAGATATGATCATGAATTGAAAGTACCAAAAAAAATACAAAATGGCGCCTGGATGACGTCATGAAAATTTGATGACCTTGAAAATGTTCCTGTCACGTCTTATGGCAATGACCTATGACTGTGCCAAAATTTAACAAAATTGACTGAACTGATCTTGAGTTATCCTGTACACAAAAAAGTGGGGAGAAATAAAAATAAACTAGAAATTTAATTCGTCACGAAGACGAATAAGGTGGTCTGTCTATGTCTTATAGATTTGAGAATGGGAGAAGTAATATATAGACATGTAAACAATGATGATCATGATGAACATGATGATGATCATGATAGTAAAGGTGATGATGATCATGATAATGATAATGATGTTTCCTTCATTTCTAAGCGCATAGGGACTTTCTTTGTGTGAGTGATATGCGCTATACAAATAACGTTCATTATTATTATTATATGATGATAAAAACGATAATGTTACTGATGATGATGATAATGATCATGATCATGGTGATGTTGATGATCATCATCTTCAGACCATGATGATGATGATGATGGTGACATTGATGATGATGATGATGATGATGATAATATTGATGATGATGATGACGATGATGAGTATGAGCATGATTCTGACATCTGATTGAAAAAATGAGGAAATATTTAGATAGCATATAGTCTCAGCTACAACTTACTAAGATTTGGTTGAAAACTGTTTTGAATAACAACTGAGACACTGGTCAAAACAGAATCCAGATTTGGAAAAAGTCATCTTCCATAAGGATAACACGCAAAAAGTAATGGATGTAGTGATAATAGGGTAATAATAAAGTAAATATGGTTGTTTATTACATTATTTGCGATTGTACGTGTTTTAATATTCAAAGGAGATGGTAGAGTGAAAGGTCAAAAAGAAAAAAAAGTGAAGAAAAAAAATTGTTGGAGACGCCCGGACTCGAACCAGGGACCTCTAGGTCGGAAGTCAAGTGCGTTACCGATATACCAAAACATTTCCCTTAGAGATTACACGTAAACGGATAATGGAATTATCAAATCCCACTTTGTAAGTGAAATATGAGCATGATCCCGGCATCTGATCGAAAAATAAAGGGCACACTAGTGATAGCTTATTTTCTCAGCTACAACATACTCAAAACTCAGCGTAAACAAAGATAAAACGACGGAGATATGGGTTTGATTGTGACGTCACAATAGAGTTCGTGTATGGTGCGCATTTTGTTATACGCGTAATATACATTGTCATTGTCACCAGCAGCTGGTGCGCGATGTTATTTACAACTGGCTCGATTATTTCTCACGAGTTTGACACGCAAACAATTGTGGGGTCAACTTGCATCCTAAAGAGCTATAATGTATTTTGTATAGGCATGTTTTTGACCATATATGCTATGTATTACAAGAGCTCGCACGCACAGACATTTACCTTAAACGGACGATCATTTCCTTATTAATGGTCATAAAGAGATAAACATGGTATCAAATTGTTCGGAAAAAAATGGGAAATACTATGATAGACAAAAAATGACGATTTAAGGTTGCGTTCGACCATTACGAACAAAAACGTGCGCGCAAATTTATGCGCGCGGAAAGGTGTGCGCACGCAAAATTCTCGAAATGCTTGAAATGGCCTAAAACGTACTCTAATTTGATCAAAAAGTGATTATGAGCATTTTTTATTTTTGCGCGCACCGACGCGCGGACGGACGCGTACGCGCGCGTTAATTGACCTTAAGTTGACCGGACGGATATTGACCATAATCGTTATAAATATGAATGAGAAATGATTTACGGTTATGAAGATATGATCATGAGTTGATTCTCAGAGCACTTCACAAAATGGCGCCTAGATGACGTCATAATATTTTGATGAACTTGAAAATGTTCCTGTCGCGTCTTAAGATGATGACCTATAACTGTGTTAAATTTGAAAGAAATTGGACGGTTCAATTTTGAGTAATCGTGCACACAAAAGAGTGGTCACAAATTTATTTTAATTGAATTGTGTTTTTGTACAAATTCAATTAAAATACTAGAATTTAATTCGTCACGAAGACGAATAAGGTGGTCTGCCTTCAAGTTATATAAACATGTAAACAATGATGATCATCATGATGATCATGATGATGATGATCTTGATAGTAATGGTGATGACGATGATGATGATGATCATGATCATGATGATGTTATGATTATCAACAGACCATGATGACATCAGACTGAAAAAAATGAGAGAACATTTAGATAGTATAAGTCTCAGCTACAACATACTAAAAAATCAACAAAAATCAAGCCGAAATAACGGCGATATTGCTTGCAAAAGACAAGAATGTAGAATCCAGATTTGAGAAAAAGTCATCTCCCATAAGGATTACACGCAAAAAGTAATGGATCAAGTGATAATAGGGTAATAATAAAGTAAATATGGTTGTTTATTACATTATTTGCGATTGTACGTGTTAATATTCAAAGGAGATGGTACAGTGAAAGGTCAAAAAGAAAAAGAAAGGGAAGAAGAAAAACTGTTGGAGACGCCAGTGATTATGATGATGATATATTGATGATGATCATGATCATGCTGACATCTGATTGAAAAAATGAGGGAGACATTTAGATAGCATATAGTTTCAGCAACAACATACTTAAAATTCAACAAAAACCAAGTGGAAATAACAGCGATATTGCTCGCAAAAGAACGGAATGTAGAATCCAGATTTGAGAAAAAGTCATCTCCCATATAGAGAAATTATATTGACATGTACATGTAAACAATGATGATCATAATGATGATGAAGATGATGATCTTGATAGTAATGGTGATGATGATGATGATGATTATAATGATAATGTTAATGATGATGATGATGATGTTGATGATGATGATCATGATCCTGATGATTTTGATGATGATCATCGTCAGACCATATGATGATGATGATCATGATGATATTGATGATGATCATGATGATAGTGATCGATGATGATTATTCATGAGCGTGATTCTGACATCTGATTGAAAAAATGAGGGGACATTTAGATAACATATAGTCTCAGCTACAACATATACTCAAAAATCAACAAAAACCAAGCAGAAATAATGGCGATATTGCTCGCCAAAGACAGGAATGTAGAATCCAGATTTCAGACCATGATGATGATCATCATCATCATTATGATAATGATGATCATGAGCGTGATCGATCCTGACATCTGATTGAAAAAATGAGGGGACATTTAGATAACATATAGTCTCAGCTACAACATACTCAAAAATCAACAAAAACCAAGCAGAAATAATGGCGATATTGCTCGCAAAAGACAGGAATGTAGAATCCAGATTTCAGAAAAAGTCACCTTCGATAGGCATGACACGCAAATTCTGACATGTCGCATTTAATCGAAATTTTCACTATGATGACGTCATCAAAATAAAAAATGGTGAGACATAAATAAAGAGAAGGAAAGAGGAAGACGGTCCGTTATAGTCATGTAAAAATACATGAGCTGGACAGAGGGATGAAAGATCGAGGAATCAGAAATGCGCATGTCTTGGAAGGAGAGAGGATATAGCGGGAGGATAAGGAAATGGTGGTAGGTATACGTACGTGAAATAAGAATACAAAGCTAGCCAAAGCTAGGCAACGGAAAGAGCTAGAGAAAATTAGGAGCAATGGAATAAGGCCAAATAAAAAAAAAAAACATGTTTAGCGTCCTGTTTTTTGGAAAAATAGGAAGGAGGAGGCCCTTTTTCTTTCTTTTTTTCTTTGAAAATGGCCGCTCAAAATTGCCGCTCGGTACATTTTCCCTGTCAGTCGGGCTACTTTTCAAGATGGCCGCCGAGATTTTATGTTTTTTTTTCTATAAAAATCAAAAAAAAATCAAAAAAAAAAAATCAAAAAAAAAAATCAAAAAAAAATCAAAAAAAATAATAGGAGGCGGCCCCCAAAAAGGAAGCGGGCGGGGACGCTAAACATGTATATTCTTTTTACATGGCCTAAACGACAAGGTATCAGATATCCATTGTTTTGACATTCCTTTTCCCTTATAACACGCAAAATCATGCATTTCGTGAGAAATTATATGCGCGAGAAATATACTGGGCGAATTGTCTGTAGGGCGAATTTAATCTGACCAAGATTTTGGCCGATTCGAATTGCATGCACACTCATGATCATGGTCATATGAGTTGCTGAGTAGGCCTACTGCTGTTTTAGTTGTGTTGTTGTGCTGATTGCTAGCTTAGTTTTGGTAAGAATTCGGTTGTTGCTATTGTATTACTTTATCGTGAATCCTTTCTTATTAGTTTGTTAGAGATTTTGCGTTATCGCATAAGTGTGTGAGTGTATTTAAACTTTTAAAGGCATTGACTTTGTAGTTTTACAAATCAAGTCTGAGATGCGATACATCTCACGTATACATGTAGGCCTATAGTATAGGGTCTGCGTGTTATCATATCAGCTCAGTGAGTGATTGTGATTGAATTTTGAAGCCCTACGAAAAACGAAAAGGAAGTGTTTCAAAAAAGTGAAAATCTTTGACTCAGTTTGACTTTGAGTGACCGGTTTTACCATACTCATTTCTCCCAATAGACTGTAGAGTGTAGACCTAGTCTAGATCTAGACCTGTTTCTAGATCTAGATCTAAGTCAGTGTTATAAATTAAAAACCATAAGTCGGTAGGGATCTAGGCCTACTACTAGATCTAGATACTATATCTGACTATAGGCCTAGATCATAGATCTAGACTAGACCTAGATCTAGTCTAGATCTATTAATTTCTAATTCCAATCATGAATATCTTGATAGTTGATAATTAGACAGGTCACAGCTGACAGGCGATCGGCTTGTAAAAGTCATGGGATAATATTTATCCCCTCGCCAAAGTCAAAGAAGGAGGGGATCTAGACCCCTGTATTAATATGCTGCTCGCTGTCGAAGCCCTTCCTTCCGTGTGCCTTAATAAGTACAAATCTGGTTTAAAATCAATGGCCCGTATTCTGAAGTCGTGTCTAACTCCTGTTTAACTAAACAGTTGTCTAAGTCTTGTTTAAGTCCCGTCTAACTTTAGACACGAAGTCGTGTCTAACTTTTTTGGTATTCTGAAGTCGTGTTTAAATAAAGTTAAACACGAAGTCCTGTCTAAGTCCTGTTTAACTTTAGACAACTGCGAGGGGTTGTTTAAGTCCTGTTTAAGGGCGCGATTCTGCTGCTTTTCAACGTCGACGGTACACTGTACTTGCTGACCCCGAACTTGCGGGGGAGAACGATGGTACGTGCATTCTCCAAAATTTCAAATACGTTTTGCAGGATTTTTTCTCGTGTAGCCTAATTTTTTTCCTCGATAATATTAACTATTCTTATCTACTGGTGACATCTTCAGAGCTGCCAACTAGTACGGATTTTCCGTAATTGGTACGGAAATTAACGACCATTACGGAATGTTGTCTCAAATTACGGATTTTAAAAAAAAAAAAAAAAAAAGATTTTTTTTTTTTTTTTTTTTTTTTTTTTTTAATGAATTAAATATGATTTATCGTAGCGAGTGCTGTGAATAGGAGCCATTTTTCATGACAAACTGTGTTGTGATGACCTGAAATTCAATACTTAACATCTTTGTGTGAGTAAAATCACCAAAAATTTCAGATAATCATGCGTCCGCGCAGTGTTGGCGTGTCGTTTTTTTAGATTCATAGCGCCGCATAAGAAATTACTGATTTATACCCCAAATTACTGATTTTGAGCCTTGTGATTACTGATTTTCTGTTCTGGAGGTTGGCAGCTCTGCATCTTGGAAATTCCATAATCTATAATAAACTAACCATTCTGTTGGAGAAGTTTCTTTTGTGGTTCTTCCGAGCACTAAGGCACCGATAAGTAGTGTGTTTGTCAATCTCAGTGTACAGTACGTGTACTGTACGTACGTACACAAAGTACATGCAGTCTAGTCATTACGTCACGATCACATCACCATGGTACCAGCACGCGCACAGCTAGCTGTGCGCGTTAATTTATTTATCCGGTGCGCGCACGCATGCGCATTGGGTCTTTCGTCAGAATTAACGCCTACTGGGCATGCCCAGAAGTCGTGACTAAGATTTAAACACGACTTGCGCAGAACTTAAACAGTTGTTTAGTTAAACACCACTTAGACAGGACTTAAACAGTTGTTTAGTTAGACGAGACTTAGACACGACTTCAGAATACGAAATTTAGTTAAACAGGACTTAGACACGACCTCGCGTCTAAGTCCTGTCTAAGTCGTGTCTAACTAAACAGTTGTTTAACTTTAGACGTGGCTAAGTTAGACACGACTTCAGAATACGGGCCAATAACTTTAGAGTAATGTTTGACGGATTTTAATGAAATTTGATATGAAGGTAAATGGTATAAAAACACCGCATAAGTTCAATTTCAGAGTATGTAGGTCAAAGGTCATAGCTCATTAAATATGCGAATCTGGTTTCTGTTCGATAACTTTAGTAATATTTGATGGATTTTCATGAAATTCGATATGAAGGTACAGGGTATAAAAACGAGGCATAAGTTCAATTTCCGAGTATGTAGGTCAAAGGTCATGGCTCATTAAATATGCGAATCTGGTTTCCGATTGATAACTTTAGTAATGTTTGACAGATTTTAATCAAATTTGATATGAAGGTACATGCTATCAAAATACAGCATAAGTTCAGTTTCGGAGTATGTAGGTCAAAGGTCATAGCTCATTAAATATGCGAATCTGGTTTCTGTTCGATAACTTTAGTAATATTTGATGGATTTTCATGAAATTCGATATGAAGGTACAGGGTATAAAAACGAGGCATAAGTTCAATTTCGGAGTATGTAGGTCAAAGGTCATGGCTCATTAAATATGCGAATCTGGTTTCCGATTGATAACTTTAGTAATGTTTGACAGATTTTAATCAAATTTGATATGAAGGTACATGCTATCAAAATACAGCATAAGTTCAGTTTCGGAGTATGTAGGTCAAAGGTCATAGTTCATTAAATGTGCAAATCTGGTTTCTATTCGATAACTTTAGTAATGTTTGACGGATTTTAATGAAATTTGATAGGAAGGTACATGCTATCAAAATACAGCATAAGTTCAGTTTCGGAGTATGTAGGTCAAAGGTCATAGCTCATTAAATATGCGAATCTGGTTTCTGTTTGATAACTTTAGTATTATTTGATGGATTTTCATGAAATTCGATATGAAGGTACATAGTATAAAAACACAGCATAAGTTCAATTTCCGAGTATGTAGGTCAAAGGTCATAGCTCATTAAATATGCGAATCTGGTTTCCAATCGATAACTTTAGTAATGTTTGACAGATTTTAATCAAATTTGATATGAAGGTACATGGCATCAAAACACGGCCTAAGTTTGATTTCCCAGTATGTAGGTCAAAGGTCATAGCTCATTAAATATGTGAATCTGGTTTCTGTTTGATAACTTTAGTATTATTTGATGGATTTTCATGAAATTCGATATGAAGGTACATGGTATAAAAACACAGCATAAGTTCAATTTCGGAGTATGTAGGTCAAAGGTCATAGCTCATTAAATATGCGAATCTGGTTTCTGATATCGATAACTTTAGTAATGTTTGACGGATTTTAATCAAATTTGATATGAAAGTACATGGCATCAAAACATGGCCTTAGTTTGATTTCCCAGTATATACCCTGCGAGGGGATGCTATGCTTTGCGTTGACTTGTTTTATTTATGTCATTTAGCATTATGAATGAGGGCTCATTATTTGTATTTATTGTAATATATTGATATTGGTATTTTATTAAATGTAATTTTTTGTTTTGTTTTGTTTGTATTTTAGGTTACTGAGAGTTGAAGAGAGAGTTGCAGAAAGTAAGTTGATATGCTTAGAAAGGCTGAAGTCAAGTAGTTTTTAAATTAAAGCTATGATGGAATGAAACAGATCCGCATAATTGGGAACAATTGAATGCAGAATACGAAAGCTATGGCTTTAAGAAATTTTCTATATAACTTTTTGACACTACCAAGTTACTTTTAATTATGTCAGTAAAGGTATAGACCAGTTTTGGAAAAGCCCCCCTCTCAAAAAATGAAATGGTACCTTTTTTTAACAATCATGTGAAAGAATATGTTTTGACTAATACCTGATGATACAAATTTTGATACTAATTGATATATTTGGTAAATTATTATATCTATCCGGAGTGGATAGATATCGCGCATGTGTCGCATAGTGCCATATACATCTTTCTGTGTACAGTGCTTGTAACTTTACCATGACTGGGTCAAATTTCTCATCATTTTGATGATCCAGAACCTTTCAGTACACACCAATACTTACCGTATATGCTAGATGATCAACCTTTTGTGATCGATTTCACAACGTTTTTTTCGCAATGCAATCGCATGACCAAAACTGGTCTTGAATGAGGGCTCACTATTTGTATTTATTTTTGTAATATATTCATATTGGTTTTTTATAAAATGCAATTGTTTTTTTCTTTTCTTTTTTTATTTCTAGTGCTTTTAATCAACAAATGTCAGTTTGATTAAAGAAATGACCCACACCAGACGGTTATTTCTGTCTATGACTCTCTATGTTTTGCTGGAGTGTGGGGTGGAGGGGGGGGGGGGGGGTGGGAGTCACAGGTTGAACATTGGCACATAGAGAGGTCAAAAGTCATTTGAGGTCAAGCGTTAAAGTTTACCTGCAACCTCAGCTACACTACAAACACAAACACAGTAGCATATCATGTAATACCCCTTCTCAAAGTTTATGGGATGTTGCATTCTATGGCAGATATTTCAAAATCAGCTTGCGATAGGCCCTACAATTCTTATAGATGGCAATGGACATTGCGATATTCTAGTTATTTTCACAAGTGGGCGAGACACAACATCGCTAATGCCTTGTTTAAACTGAAAAGTCATCCACAAAGTAGATGAGGTTTAGACATTGGTCAGTTAAAAATTTATGTTGTGCCACCACCCATGATAATGTCATTACAGAAATGGTACAATTTGAAACAGGAAAAGAGCTTAAAATGAAAATGCATTGAAGTACTGTACCTAAACAAAATATTGATATTAACATTATTTCTGAACTGTTGGTTCTTACAAAAGTTATTGATTTCAGTCTAAGTTGCAGTTTGGGATGTAATGTGGTGTTTGAATCTTTCCATTTCAGATTTGATAGATCTACTCTTACTGTTGGACAGTTACTGAGAGAGAAGCAAGGAGGCAGAGGTAAATTCAGCTCTTACTGTTGGACAGTTAGTGAGAGGGAAGCAGGGAGGAAGAGGTGAATAGAGCTCTTATTGTTGAACATTTACTGAGAGAGAAGCAAGGAGGCAGAGGTGAATAGAGCTCTTACTCTTGGACAGTTATTTAGAGAGAAGCAAGGAGGCAGAGGTAAATAGAGTTGTTACTGTTGGACAGTTATTTAGAGACGAGCAAGGAGGAAGAGGTGAATAGAGCTCTTACTGTTGGACAGTTACTGACACAGAAGCAAGGAGGCAGAGGTGAATAGAACTCTTACTGTTGGACAGTTAATGAGAGAGAAGCAAGGAGGCAGAGGTAAATAGAACTCTTATTGTTGGACAGTTACTGACACAGAAGCAAGGAGGCAGAGGTGAATAGAACTCTTACTGTTGGACAGTTAATGAGAGAGAAGCAAGGAGGCAGAGGTAAATAGAGTTGTTACTGTTGGACAGTTATTGAGAGACAAGCAAGGAGGAAGAGGTGAATAGAGCTGTTACTGTTGGACAGTTACTGAGACAGAAGCAAGGAGGCAGAGGTGAATAGAGCTCTTACTGTTGGACAGTTACTGACACAGAAGCAAGGAGGCAGAGGTGAATAGAACTCTTACTGTTGGACAGTTAATGAGAGAGAAGCAAGAAGGCAGAGGTAAATAGAACTCTTATTGTTGGACAGTTACTGACACAGAAGCAAGGAGGCAGAGGTGAATAGAACTCTTACTGTTGGACAGTTAATGAGAGAGAAGCAAGGAGGCAGAGGTAAATAGAGTTGTTACTGTTGGACAGTTATTGAGAGACAAGCAAGGAGGAAGAGGTGAATAGAGCTGTTACTGTTGGACAGTTACTGAGACAGAAGCAAGGAGGCAGAGGTGAATAGAGCTCTTACTGTTGGACAGTTATTTAGAGAGAAGCAAGGAGGCAGAGGTAAATAGAGTTGTTACTGTTGGACAGTTATTTAGAGACAAGCAAGGAGGAAGAGGTGAATAGAGCTGTTACTGTTGGACAGTTACTGAGACAGAAGCAAGGAGGCAGAGGTGAATAGAGCTCTTACTGTTGGACAGTTATTTAGAGAGAAGCAAGGAGGAAGAGGTGAATAGAGCTGTTACTGTTGGACAGTTAATGAGAGAGAAGCAAGGAGGCAGAGGTGAATAGAGCTCTTACTCTTGGACAGTTATTTAGAGAGAAGCAAGGAGGCAGAGGTAAATAGAGTTGTTACTGTTGGACAGTTATTTAGAGACGAGCAAGGAGGAAGAGGTGAATAGAGCTCTTACTGTTGGACAGTTACTGACACAGAAGCAAGGAGGCAGAGGTGAATAGAACTCTTACTGTTGGACAGTTAATGAGAGAGAAGCAAGGAGGCAGAGGTAAATAGAGTTGTTACTGTTGGACAGTTATTGAGAGACAAGCAAGGAGGAAGAGGTGAATAGAGCTGTTACTGTTGGACAGTTACTGAGACAGAAGCAAGGAGGCAGAGGTGAATAGAGCTCTTACTGTTGGACAGTTACTGACACAGAAGCAAGGAGGCAGAGGTGAATAGAACTCTTACTGTTGGACAGTTAATGAGAGAGAAGCAAGAAGGCAGAGGTAAATAGAACTCTTATTGTTGGACAGTTACTGACACAGAAGCAAGGAGGCAGAGGTGAATAGAACTCTTACTGTTGGACAGTTAATGAGAGAGAAGCAAGGAGGCAGAGGTAAATAGAGTTGTTACTGTTGGACAGTTATTGAGAGACAAGCAAGGAGGAAGAGGTGAATAGAGCTGTTACTGTTGGACAGTTACTGAGACAGAAGCAAGGAGGCAGAGGTGAATAGAGCTCTTACTGTTGGACAGTTAATGAGTGTTGCTATTCTGTTTACATCACAAGGGTTTACTCTCCAAAGAACTCTCCAAAGAACTTGCACTTGAACTTGCACTTGAACTTACACTTGAACTTGCACTTGAACTTACACTTGAACTTGCACTTGAACTAGCACTTGCACTTGAACTATCTTGAACTATCTTGAACTATTTGAACTATCTTGAACTATCTTGAACTATCTTGAACTATTTGAACTATCTTGAACTATTTTGAACTATCTTGAACTCTCCAAAGAACTCTCCAAAGAACTTGCACTTGAACTTGTATTTGAACTAGCACTTGAACTTGAACTATCTTGAACCTTGAATCTGAAACATACTGAATGAAACTTGAATCTGGAAATCTTGAATCGAATCAAAACTGGAACAGAATATTTCTAAAGATTGTATTGCCATTTTTAGAAGACATAATTATTGTCAATTATAAAGAAATTATTGGCAGTTTCTAGAAGGAATTAAAAGTAAACTGAAATAAAAAGAAGAACAATAGAGGGAAAGGAATCTAACTCTAATTCCTGGAACTTGATAAGACCATACTTACAGTTGAAAGCAGTAATATTGTAAATCTTGGGAAAGAAAAAAAGAGGTATACATTTTAAAGAGTAAAGTAGATTGGAAAAGTAGTCGTTCAAGATAAATATTGGAAGTTTGAAGGACTGTATTGCCATTTTAGAAGACATAATTATTGTCAATTACAAAGAAATTATTAGCAGTTTCTAGAAGGAATTAAAAGTAAACTGAAATAATAAAAGAAGAATAATAGAGGAACAGGAATCTAATTCTAATTCCTGGAACTTGATAAGACCATAATTACAGTTGAAAGCAGTAATATTGTAAATCTTGGGAAAGAAAAAAAGAGGTATACATTTTAAAGAGTAAAGTAGATTGGAAAGTAGTCGTTGAAGATAATATTGGAAGTTTTAAGGACTGTATTACGATTTTAGAAGACAAAATTGCTGTCAATTAGAAAAAAATTCTCGGCAGTTTCCAGAAGGAATTAAAAGCAAAGTGAAATAAAAAGAAGAACAATAGAGAAAAAGTTCTAATTCCTAGAACTTGATAAGACCTCTATTAGAATTCAAAACAGTAGTATTAGTAATCTTGGGAAAGTAAAAAGAGCGAATACACAGCAAAGAATAAAGAAGATTGAACAAAATAGTGTGAAGAAGGCAATATTGCAAGTTTGAAAGACTGTATTGCCATTTTAGAAGACATAATGACTGTAAATTAGAAAGAAATTATTGGCAGTTTCTAAAAGGAATTAAAAGCAAACTGAAATAAAAAGAAGAACCATAGCGAGAAAGCAATTTAACTCTAATTCCTAGAACTTGATAAGACCATAATCACAAACAATTTGTGTCAATATATAGAGTCCTAGAAAAGTGAGCGTGGTTGATTGTAAAGAGAAAAGGAAAGAAATCCTTCGATATATAGTGTTCAGAATTTTAAAAATAAAAGTAAGCTTGATTACAGAGAGAGTAAGAAAGAAGATTGGGTCAGGATATATATATAGTTTTAGAAATATAAGTGAGGTTGATTGATTTGAGAGAGAATAAGAAAGATATTTTGGTCAGGATATAAAGTGAACCTGTTTGCAGAGAGAGAGTAACAAAGAAATTAGCAATTTGGGAACTTATATAGGCCTACAATACATTTAGGCTATTAATGACCTACTCATAATTTTAATAAAAAACGCCATCTTGAGACAAAAACATTATAGCTCCTTAACACAGTACAAGCTAGTGTATATAAAGCTAGGCTATTGAAATACCATAGAGTTTAATATCAGTAAGGATTAGTTTTTCATAATTCACAATAGGAATATTTAAATAAAAGACTATTGGAGTAAGGAATATATACAGAACATTATATATCAAAGTTACAGAACCGTTAATTGTAGACTTGTAATTATTAACCAGAACTGTTGCAAGTATATAAGCAAAATTTACCATGATGGATACAATTGAATTTAAGAAAACACTTGATGAAATCATGAATATACTGACTAGTTGTGCATTGGTGACCAACCCAGAGCTTAATGAATGCTGTATCTGTAACAATGAAATCAAAGAAAATGAAAGTGATGCAAGATGTGACTGTTGTAGTAAGCATTTTCATGTGACATGTATGGGATTCCCTTGTGAAGACAGACTGAGTGACCTGACATTGATCTGGATTTGTTCATTTTGTGGCAATAACAACATTGCTCATCGCATGTTTGATAAAGTATGCATCCCTTCTCATTTCAATAGATACAAAGTCCTTGATGAAGAACGTGATGAATACTGTTGCAGTACTGACTTGCCCCAATCATCTAAGAACGACAGAAGGAAATATACCAGATCAAAGAAGAGGTATGCAAAGAGGGGAAAGAAATCCAGTATGTTGCCTGAAAAACGATGTATTGATGACATGAAAATGAGTGACTGTGACAGATGTAAACCTGATCCTGTAGACAGAGAAAATCCATCTCAATCAGATTATGAACAATTGAGAAATGAAGAATTTGAAGATGATGCTGATGACTGGGTTACTGTAAAATCAAGAAAGACAAAATGGATGGAGAAAATAAAAGACAGAAAATTGTATTCCAAATCAACAGTTGATTATCGAACAGACCGGAAAATCAAGAGAAAATCAGTGAATGGTGTAGTCTTGAAACCAGGTGTGACTTACATTGGCAAAGCAATGAAGACATTCTATGAAAGTCATGAGAAAAAAAATGGAAACCGAAAGAAAAATGTATGTAAGGAAAACAAGAATGTGAAAAGAGAAGATGTCAGTTTGCAGTCTTATGTAGAAACGCTTTTGGCTATATATGCATACAGTGTGCAATCCCCATGTTCAATGAAATTGTACAGTGAGACCTGTGTGCAAATTGAAACGATGCAGACACGATCTTGGGCTGACGTAGCAGGTTATTTGCCATCTCGATCAAGAACAGATTCATGTGTTGATATTCATGCCTGCACTCGTAATCTTTTTGAACAGATCAAGGATTTCCGAATGTACAGAGTTCATGCTGGTGGCAAGAAAAAAGAAGCAAAGAACAAGAAAGGTCGAGCAAGGAACAAGAAAGGTCAGTCTTCCAAAGCTGGGAAAAAAGGCACTGATGGAAATCACTCTTCTGATAAATCAGAGATTAGATTTGACAAAGATGAAGGAATAGAATTAGCAGTAAAGAATGAGAAGCTGGATACAAAGAAATCTATGAATGCAAGTGACCAAGGACTTGATCCAAATACATGTAAAAATGATGAACACTCAGACCAGCATATTTGCAATATGAAAGACAACAAAGGTTCAGATGGAGTTGTGCAGGACGATTCAAAGAATAATCTGTTGAAATCAAATTTTGATGAAAATAGGGAAATTGAAACGGACGATGATAGTGGCAGTGATGTTCATATACCAGTGAAACGTTCATGTGCAAGAAATTGTATAGAATCTGATAGTGATACAGACACAAGTCCTGGATGTGATTTATTCGATAGAAGTGTTTTACCAGAACGCAATATGCCTTTGAATGTTTGTGATAGACCAAAAGATATGCCCAGAAATGAACCAGTAGACAATGTCTGTGAATCGGTATTGGAAAATGATGATATGATGAAAAATGATTTTTCAGATGTTTCAGATGGTGTACAAGAAGATGCAGTGTTTGACAATGACCTGAAGAATAGAAGCTTTGATACAGTAAAAGATGGTACAGACAATGATACTGATATGTCATTTAATGATCATGCTCATTCAAGGAATCCTTTAGAATCTTCTTCAGATTCAAATATCAAAGATGAAGACATTGAAAAGGCAATAGATGCTAATATGTACACATGTACTGATGAAACAGAAACAGAAGTTGAATTTGTAGCAGATCTTGGATTACGTGATAGACCAGATAAAGATTTTAAATTTGTACCCCTCCAGAATAATGACAAACAGAACATTTGTTCAAAATTGAATATCAAATATATAGGCAAAGGCTGTGATTCAAGGTTAGATAGAAATAGCTGTATTGGAGTTCCTTTACAGAGTAAACAAATTACTGGTGATGGCAATTGTTTCTTTCGTGCAATTTCCTATGTAATTTCTGGAACTGAGCGTAATCATGCAATTTTAAGAAATGCCACTGTGAAACATTTATTGCAAACCAAGGACATGTTTAGTAATACATTGAGGCAAGAATATAGAACAGTCAGAGAACATGTTTTGAAACGTAGAATAAAGGAAGACGGAACGTGGGCTACAGACACTGAAATTAGCGCTTTAGCAAATTTAATCGATATTGATATTTATTCATACAATGACCAAGTACCATGTTGGCAATTGTTCTCTGCAAAGAAACCTGGAAGAATAAATATTGTAACATCTGATAAGGGAATTTATATACTGTACACAGGAAATGTTCATTTTAATGTTGTTGAATCTGTAGATTTTGTCAATTTCAATTCATTGGAACAGACAAGAACAACTAAAGAAGATAGAACGTCAAAGAGAACTTTGCCATGTCAATCAATTCAGGCTGATGTTAAAGTAAAGCATGTGTTGAAGAAGTGTAGATCCAAGTCGCAGATAGAGGAAGAAATTGATGAAGTAGTGGATAAGTCTCCTGAAACATTTCAAAACCATGTTGATCCAAAGGGAAAAAAACGTAGGCTCACGTTGGAGACTGGTACGATAAATCACGATGAGAGGAAAGGTACTGCAAATCTTTTGGACATGACATATGAACAGTGTGCAAGTAATCAGTCTGAATCAGTCGTTCACAACGAACGTAACACCAAGGACGAAACCCTTGAAAGTGATCACAAAGACAAATGCACGAGAGTCGATACA